TCTTACATTTTTGAAATGCTTGAAAATACTCTTCATCATCAATTTGATTTTTTTTTTCTAAAACATTTTGTGAATGGTTGTACTATTCCTGCAAAATTTTGAATAAACAAACAAAATGACTTAACTTCTTTGGTGTTTGAAACTGTCTTTTCTATTGGGTAATCTTGAATAGCGTGAATTTTGAAAAAAATTAGGTTTGATAACACCAGAAGGGTGTTATGACATGACCTAGAATTTGAACTTCTTTTCTTAGAAATTCACATTTATCCATCTAAGGTTGCGTATATGACCATGCACCAACAACATGCAGAACACCCTGTGGCCATGGAGTCTCATCACCGATGGGGTTTTTTTCTGTTTATGTCAACGACTTGCGTCGCTGGTCATAGTGGTCATGCGTCTCCTAAGAAACATCACACTCGTGCTCCGGCATTCGTTGTAAACTGTTCACAATTAAGATCCGATCGCTCTGTATTATTGAATAAAACTTGTAAAACCGAAACAACATTTCGTAATTCTAACATCAGAAGTGGGATAGTATCCAAAACGCCTAAATTTGAAAATTTTTCTATAAAAACTATTTTGCAAAACTAAAACAGTGAAATAAAGTGAAATGAGTGAAAGAGATAGTGAAGTTGATGGAGTTGAAGAAAGCGCGACAGCGGAAGTTGAGTATATTAACACCATACCCGAAAAAGTTATGGAGAGCGGCGTCAGCCAAGCAAGAATAAATAAACAGCGAGAGAACGAGCCATCAACGAGCTTTCAGTCCGAACAATTCCTGCACTATCAGCAACAGCAACAAGAGGTGATTGACCGACTTTTTAAGTTGCTGGAGAGCCAAAAAAATAATGTCAATCAGCCGATTGCATCAGACTTACTTGTAAGTAAACTGCCTGATTTCAAACTAACCCGATACGACCCTGACGATTCGCCGTACAGCATGAAGGAGTGGCTTGATATTGCATGTAGTTATAAAGACCGGTATTTAATAAATGATGAAGACATGATAATGAAGGTTGGCGAATCTCTTATGAACCGAGCATTAAAGTACTATTGTCACTGGAAACCAAAATCTCGAACCTGGCAGAACCTAGTGAGCGCTCTAACTAGCTCATTTCCCGTGATAGGAACGCCATTTACGCGCCTTTGTGCCTTAACAAATACACGTAGTTCAGATTGCAATAATTTAACAACATTTTTCCATAAAAAGTTTCAAGAAATAAATGCGATGCATGAACTTGATTTTAGGTGGCTAGTAATTTTGAGCATCGTCGAAGGATGCGTACAAGATTCGGAAATTAGAACGGCCATTCAAATGACAAAACCATCTAATGAAAGCGAACTGATCACCCTCATGAGCTAGGGAGACAACGATTTAAAATTGCGTCACGAAGAGTGTCAAGCTCGTGGTAAACGCCAACATCAACATCGCTATGAATCAAATAACAAACATAAACAAACTACAAATACCGCGTCAACATTTTCGGGCTAATGTTGTTACTGCAACAAAGCCGGTTGTTCGGGCCAAGTCCGACAAACGTATCGATAACGCGACGAAGTGTTATCATTTGCACACCTGCCAGCAGGGGACAGCTGCAATTATATGCTTTGTTCTCTAAGTTCACTCCAGACTTCAGCTGCATCATTCTTGCAACGTTAGCAGGAATATCCCCAAGCTCTTGAGCTTTTGTGCAAGTGTTGTGGCCTAGTCGACGTTGCGACTTTGGTTACACAGACTAGCTGCTCAGTAAATGATGCACACAAGAAATTTGGAAAGATACTAGTTTATTAATTCTCTTTACTCCTATTTAATATGTGTTTCTCTAATACGTCATGTACAAGAGTCCGATTTATGACGTACGTCTGCTAATGATTTAAGTCTAAGTTCAACAGATTAGCGGAAGCAAATACGGTATAGGAAAAATACATTATTTGGAAACTTAACTTGTACGTAAATATGATATATAAATGTCTAATCGCTAATTACTCTATTGGTATGGGACAACGGTCGTAACACAAGTTACACGGTAAATAAATCGTAAAATCAGCAAGAGTTTTGTTCATTGCATACCTCATCCATATAACTATAGATGTTGTGGCCTAGTCGACGTTGCGACTTCGGTTACATAGACTAGCTGCTCAGTTAATGTTGCACACAAGAAATTTTGTAAGATACTGATTTATTAATTCTCTTCTTTCCCATTTCATACGTTTATCTCTAATACGTCGTGTTCAAGAGTCCAAGTAATGACGTACGTCTGCTAATGATTGAAGCCTAAGTACAACCGATTAGCAGAGGCAAATGTGATAAAGGAAGAATACATCATTTGGAAACTTAACATGTCGTACGCAAATATAATATACAAATATTTAATCGCTGATTACTATAAGATTTAATTACTACTTTGCTATCTATGATATCTATTGGTGGGACAACGGTCATAACATAGATATAAATCTAGAAAACCCATGTTTTTCTCATGGTAAGTTGTATGTTGCCTGTTCTCGTGTTGGAAAAGTATCAAATTTGTTTGTCTATGCGCCAGGTAATCAAACAAAAAACATCGCATATCACAAAGCACTACAATGAAATTAAAACTGATATTTGTTATTATTTGCGCCGAGTAAAAAATAGGTAGGAACAAGAAACTGCCACATTCCAAATCTGACAGAACGAAGTCTGTAGGGTCCGCTAATGATTAATAAATATGTTAGAATTATAAAATGTTGTTTCGGTTTTACTACTTTTATTCATTAATACAGAGCGATCGGATCTTAATTGTGAACAGTTTATAACGACTGCCGGCGCACAAGTTAGTGATATTTCTTAAGAGACGCATGGCCATCGACGCAAGTCGCTGACATAAGCGTAAAAACCCCCCATTGATGATGTGACTCCATGTCCACAGGGAGTTCAGCATGTTGTTGGTGCATGGTCATATACGCAACCTTACAAATATAATTATTGAAAATGAAAATTATTTGCAGACCACTAATTCAGTTATTACATTTAGAAACACCTGTTTTTGAGGAAGATATTGATTCTGCTACATTTCAATCTGCAAATAAAACTCCATCAACATCTGATTATGTCGAATCACCACCGAGCTCAAAAAGTATTTCGGTATTTCGGACCTCCCATCAAGTGGCGAAACACCGACGTCAATGTCTCAACAAAGCGTAGCTTCAATGTTTGAAGCACAGGGGCGAAATTATGAAACTAAACGTGAGAGAGGGACAATAAATATTCTGACGGATCATGTTGTTGCTACTCTCGACAACTGCAAGATTTTTTTATAGAAATTCCGTTAGAATAATATCAGCTGTCGCGATGGCCCTAGGAGTAGACTCTGATAGTTTGATTCTCAACAAGACTTCGTTTAATGAAGATAGGAGGAAAATTCGGAAGGACGCGGCTGAACGAATGAAGAAGTTATTCGGTGACACTAATGTTGTAGCTGCGTTGGTTCACTGGGATGGAAAATTAATACCTGATGGACTATCTTGTAAAAAGGTTGACCGAGTGCCTATAATAATTCGAAGCAGGACTGTTGAAAAATATTAAACGTACCGGCATTACCGGATGGAAGAGGAGTTAGTCAGGCTCAGGAAATTTTTAAAAGTGTTTAAGAATAGGGATTATCTGATAATATTCAAGCTCTTTGTTGCGAAACAACTGCATCAAATCATGGATGTTACAATGGAGCAGCTATTAATTTGGAGCAACTGTTACAAAAAGATTTTCTGTATTTACCTTGTAGACATCATATACACGAATTGGTTTTAAATTGTGTTTTTGTGACGAAAATTCCGGGAACTGATGGGCCAAACGTTTCCCTGTTTAAACAATTTCAAGAAAATTGGGATTTAATTGATCAAACTAAATATAAAAATGGTTTAACAGGAAATAAAATTTCTAAAAAATTGTTAACAAATGTTGTAAAAGCAAATGAGAGTATTAAATACTTTTAAAGTTAAATTTTACATCGCGATGATTATAAGGAACATTTGGAATTGTGTCAAATTTTTCTCGGTACGATGGAAGCTGATAAGGTTAAATTTTATAAACCAGGAGCATTTCACCATGCTCGCTGGATGTTTATTCGATGAAAATATACATTTTTCGCGACATTTATGAGGTAGATCTTTCAATTCAACAAAAGCTTTTGGATATTTGCTTATTCATAGTCTTTGTTTACATACCATTTTGGTTTACTGTCCCTCTTGCAGCATCAGCTCTGTATCAAGACTTGAATTTTTTGAAAACTATACCTCAATACAAAACTATTGATAAGGAACTTTCTGAAGCAGTCTTGCACAAATTAAAAAATCATTTGTGGTATTTGAATGCTGAAACTGTTGCATTGGCTTTTTTTATCCAAATATATCACTTTCCATAAAGCATAAAATGGTTAAAGCATTAAAATTAGAGTCCGACCGAAACTGGATTTTAGCCGAAATCGAAACCGAAACTGAAATTTCGGCCCTGCAATCAGTTTCGGCCGAAACCGAAACTAATTTACATAAACACATTTTTCTACTTTTACCTACACATCGCCAGTTTTTCCACGTTTTTTAGATACAAAAGCCATTTCGGGAGTAAAGTCACCGTTTAGTCACTTGATACTTAATATAATATTAATTTAAATTTCTATGAGCCAACTGAGATGGCAAGTAACGACCTCCATTACTCGCGAAGTTAGCCGAGCGACGCACGACAATTCACGAAAAGTGAGTTTCGGTGCGGCCGAAACCGAAACTGAAGCCGAATCTCGAATTCTTGGCCGAAACTGGCTGAAACCGAAACCGAATCCGAAATTTCAGTCGGTCTCTAATTAAAATGCAATGAAGATATGAATTTTGATTCCCCTAAACGCTACGTAGTGAACTCAGACAGTGAAATTATTAGTTTACAGAAAAAAATCATTGACTTTTTTATTAATTCTAATTCAATACATTTTTTGATAGATTTAAGAGTAACAAAATTTTTTTGGAGTAACATGTTGAAACATGGTCAACTAATAATGATTACTTGGAAGGTTTGAATATTGTGAATAATCTGCAAGTTGTTAATGATGTAGCTGAAAGAGCAGTTCAGTTGACTCAAGATTATATCAACATTTTAACTACCAAAGAAGACAGTAGCATAATAAAGTGACTTAGAGCACAATTTCTTATGGGATTTTGAAACTTGAGCCTTCGGTATTTGTTATTTTGCATGCATTACACACGATAAGATACGGTGTGTGGATGTGTTGACAATTACGTGTTCGGCGCTGTTCGGCTGCGGAGTTACAACTGACAGTTGACAGCGTGCATACTGGATGTTGCAAATTGTATATACAGGATGTTAAAACAAATCAACCATTTACATGAACATGGCTATAATGATGTCGAATGTAAGTTTTTTATTCTTTATTTTTTTTATTATTATATATTTATATATTTTAATAACATTGTAGTTTCTATAGACAACCAATAAAAGTCAAGATTGAGATGGTGATGATTAAATACAGATACATTCAATCGCCTCTGGCGATCCCACAAAATATGTTCCTGATCCGTCAGAAACGAAAAATCTCCAACGACAAGATTCCATCGACGATAAATTCGCTTAAATAGTTCGAGTTAACGCGATTAAACCAACTACGATGGGAGATAATTGTTTGTCCAACTAACGATTTATACTCGTTAAAACAATCAGTGCACACATGTAGGTTCCCACTTGGTATTATAAAATATGAATGACACATGTTTACATAAGGTGGTACAATTACATCCTCGTGGTCGTGATCCTCATTGATGCAATAATTGTTGTTGTCATCATCGTTGTTGTCATCTTCGTTGTCGTTATCGTCGTGACCAATGGGTGATGATGGCGGTGGAAAATAAAAATCGTACCAGTCGTTGTAGCAGAGTATCATGATGAAATCTCTTTCTTCTGCGTTAAAATTACCAAAATTATAGTCATTCCACACCACACCATCATCATTCCACCATTCAGAAAGTGATGAAGATGAAAATACGCAACTAGTAGAAGTGTGCGAAAAATTGGAGAAGAAAGTACTACCATATTCGGACGATGAACTAAATGGTTGTAATAAGCAATTTATTGCGCTGCTTTACCGTCATTCATATTTTATAGGTTCTTCCCAAAGATTGGCAAGACAAAGGTAATGCCATTCTGCACAATTATGAAACCTCAGGAATCGTTGTGGCAGGCATACTGCTGGGCTCCATTTTGTTGTTTTGGGTTGGTTATAAAGTTTGTTCCCGCTGCTGTAATGTGTCTCACGGATTGCAACAAAATCATCAAAACACGATGCTCACCTAGATAGAACGAATGCATCATCCCCATAGTTTCCCTGATGAAGAAAAAAGCGTTTCATTTGACTTAAGTAATTAAGTAATAACCTCACAAACACATAAGTGCAATAACCAGGAATGTATATCCTAGCTACTAGATCAAAACTTTCAAAAATTAAAAGAAACGTATCAATTCAAATTACCTTTTGGAGGAAGATGTCGACAATTTACGGTGAAAAAATGGTTGTTGAAGTTGACAACTCTAACGCCATTATATTTTTACCAGACGGGTATGCAATTATTAAACGTCGATAGACTCAATTGCACACAAAGGGCACTGGTATATCGTGGAAAGAAGACGGTGGGCAACCGTACAATTCATGATGTAGAATTCACCAGATTCTTCTAAAAGTAAGTTTCAAAAAGTTCTCTGTTGTTTGTCACTGTAATATTAATTTTATTGTTCACAGCCATACTACAAACTCCGTATCTCGGATCATCATTCCTACAATTCTTACAAAAATAATGTATAAAAAAATAAAGATTGAAAATGTATAATTAAATAACAAAAAAAATTGTTGTATGCTTGACAAATTCGAAAAGTTCGTGCAAGCACACGTGTTTATTTTTAATTAAGCGATCCATTTTATGTTATTGTGGTGATCGTTATAGACTGAAGTCACAAAGCGACTGAAAATGTTTTTTTGTTTTGAATTGTGTAACTTAAACTTTGTTCATTTCTTCCGGCGGATATGTCATATCAAATTTGTAAAGTGTGTGAAGCCTACGATTACAAAACTGTTTTACATGTTTTTAAAATTCTACAAGAACTCAAGTTCGAGCAAAATCTAAGCATCCTTATCAGAAGTAAACACACACGGTAAAACCGCAAATATATTGATATGAAATTTCATTATTGTACAGCAGCTCTCCAAGGAAAAATCATAATATCATTCAAGTATTGCATGTTTTGTTGTACACACACATTAAATTTCGATCAATTGCAAAATGATGAACAAAAAAGCTATATCTGTGTTGAAAACTGTTTTTAAAGAATACCCTTCACTGGTAAGTGACTGAAAATATTAAGACTGCAATAATATCTTTATTATTTAAGTTATTGAAATATGTTATGTTAGAATATGAATGAAATAATACAAGTTTCAAGACTGTTGCTTGGTTCATGGATTTTATATCAGGGTAAAATTGAAGATTATGATGAAGAAGTAACCATATATTACAATCCGAGTTCAAGAACTGTGTGTTGGTGCGATTTGTAAAGCAAAAACTGGGTATGATATAATATAACTTGTCTTGTGGTATTTTAAATTAAAATGTGTTTGTTTTACAGATTTTTGAGACAAAAATTTACCGAACTACTTCTATGTTTCAAAGTTTTATCACACGCATTACACTTGTATAATTTTGTTGATTTAAAATTATCGTTTGAAACTTTCTTATTTTTTAAACATATTTCATCATCTTCGCTTTTCTGTAATCTGTCAGCTCTGCTATTTTTAATCACATTTTACTGCTTTTTATAATATTTAGTTTATCTTTGATGTGAAGTTTCTTATGTCGTGATAAGCCGCTTCTATGTTTCAAAGTTTTATCACACGCATTACACTGATTTAAAATTATCGTTTGAAACTTTCTTATTTTTTAAACATATTTTAGGCATTGAACCTTCTTCTTCTTGATGTATAGCTTCATTGATTTCATGCATTGGAGTTTCTTCTTGATGAAATGTTTTATTATAGTCCTCAAAATTTTGATCAATACCTTTCTCTATAACCCCACTCAATGACTGATTAATGTTTTTCAATGTTCCCAGTTTTTGGATTATATTATTTCGGTACAACGAAGTTTTGTTCATTTTTAATTTTGTATATTTACTAACCATTTTAAAGTCAATATAAATTGGTCTTCTTTTCTTATTGTTGCTTCAACGATGCTCAAGCAAATACCAAATAACGTAAGAAATCTTTCTCTTTATATACCTTTGTAACCATCTGTTACCTTTTTATCTTATATTATGTAAACTTTTTTTGCTTTCTTTTATATTATGTTACCTTCTCTCTCATTTCTATGTAACATGAAAGCATTGAATTTTTTTTGTCCTTCACACGTTGCGGTCCTTGCGGTCTCTCTCTAGCTACGCAAGCGTCACAGCCACTTAACCTCCACATCCGCTTCGCATTAGCATTATAAACTCGTTATATGAACAAAAAAAAATGATAAGGTAGTTGTGATAGGAAAGAAATTAAAACTGTTAAAGCATTTGTTCATTTTTTAACACTTGGCACTTTAACACATAACACTTGGGTTTCGATTTGTTGGCAATCTTCATCGGTCCAGAGCTCCAGGTTTGCAGTGAAGAGATGATATTGAGCTGGTGGAATCAAGACTTCGTTGTGTTGGTTCGGCAACGGGAAAATTCTGCTGTATTGGTATTTTGGGAACTTTAGGACGGGAACATACAAAATACACGTTTTCGTTTCGGCAACAGCAGCAATTTTAAATTTTGTAAACTCTGACCGTCTGACAGCTTTAAAAGTAGGGTTCTTCTACCGTGGAAAGGAAGTGCTTCTAGAGTTGCTCAACGAGCACGGCACCAAAGGGACGGTGATTTTTGTCGATACAAAGCGCAATGCTGATTTTCTCGCTGTGAATTTGAGTGAGAATCAAATGCCGACAACAAGCATTCACGGTGATCGTCCACAACAAGAGCGCGAAGCAGCACTGCGCGACTTCCGCTCCGGTCGGAAGCACAATTGTAAACTCTGACCGTCTGACAGCTTTAAAAGTAGGGTTCTTCTACCGTGGAAAGAAAATAACCGGAGATGGACGCAAAGTTCATATATTGGAGTTTGAAAAATGGTAATTTTTAATATTTTATATTTTTTATGATAATTAAATTTTTTTTTAATCTTATTTAATTTCTTTTTTTGAGTAGTTAATCAACACAAGGTGGATTCAGAAGAGTGTCAATAAAAATAAATTGTATAAGTTTGGAAACAAAAATAAATAAGTTTCAATTGTAAAAACATTTAAGTTTTTATTTTAATCTAAAATTGTCAAATTCGAGTAGCTCATCCCTTGAATAAATCGCATGTAAATGACTGACAATTGATACCAATTCATCTTTGGATAAGGTTTCAAGATTGGTATCTTCGTTCAATGCTAACGAGATCGTTCTTTCTATGAGTCGTATAATATTTAGGAGTTTTTCGCTCATGAATATGTTGTTCTGCAAGTGTAAGTGTAATTCTAGAACACTGCTAATATTGTTTATAGCTTGAGATGTGTTATTAAGATTGTTTTGGATTATTTTTAAGTTTTGATCAAATCGTTCTGTGATATGGTTAGCAAACGATGCAAATTTATTAATCGTTTTCAGGACTTGTTCTTCATTATTGTAAAGTATATCGAAGTTTGCGTAAATGTCTTGACGGTCTGTTTCATCTAGATTACCTGCTATAAGCTTAATGGCAGAGCCTAGCACGTTTATTAAAGCGCGCAACGATAATGATGATAATTGCAATGAAAACGTTATCGACTTAAAATCGTTTATTACAAAGTTTAAAATTATGTCAAAAACATCAGATTTAAATCAATTGTGTGAAGAATTTTTTAATGAACTATTAAAAAAAAGTGAAGAGTTTCAAGAAAGGGATAGCGGCTGGGCCTTGTTTGCTATCTCACATCTTATCGTAAACATTAATAAATATCAACCGATTCGAGGTGGTAGCTACATTCCTCTACCAAAAACAAAAAAGAACTTCATATAAATTTATTACTGCGGCAAAATAATGAATAATTTCACTATGTACTAATTAAACACTTATCACGATTAGGCGAAACATGTAAAACTCGCATACAAAATTGTAAAATCCAAGAAAATCACAAAAAGATTATTTATTTATTCATAAACGATCTTCCAAAATTAAACAATACAAACATTGCACTCTTTGCTGATGACACTATCGTATATAGTGCTCCAGACAACGAAATTATAGGCCGTAAAAAATTGCAAATCCACATTTCATTCATCGAAAAGTACTTCAACAAATGGAAAATCAAGGTAAATGCCAGCAAATCAGAACTCATTTCAGTTACTCCCAGAAGGAAACTAAGAACTTCCAACGACGATATTGTTTTAAATAAACAAGAGATACCTGAAAAGACTGATATCAAATATTTAGGACTAAATATAGACAAAAAATTAACATTTAGAAAACACGTAGACAATATCTTAATCAAGGCTAACGTAGGCTTAAGTCAATTATATCCATTTACATTTGGATATAATTTACCGACGAATTCGAAGCTTTTCAGCAGCAACAAGTTTCGGGCATGGACACGTTAGCCCAAGCTTTGGCTGCAATTCTCCAGCGAAGTGGGTTACTTATTAGATATTGACATTGACTACCCCGAAGAATTGCATGATAAACATAACGACTTCCCTTTTCTACCAATAAATCAAGTACCACCAACTTCAAAATTTAATCAGAAAAAATTATTAACAACTTTATATAATAAACGTAACTATATCATTCATTATAGAAATTTAAAAAATGCACTACGAAATGGACTACAATTGAAGAAAATCAATCGAATTTTAAAATTTAAGCAGTCACCTTGGTCCAAAAATGTAAATCATAATATATTACAAATTCGAAATCAAAGTTGATGAATGTATTTCAGATAAAAGATTTAGGTCCAGTCAAGAAGTTTCTTGGAATAAGAATTCAACAAGACATATCCAAAGGAACCATCACCCTGGATCAATCAGAATACATAAACCATTTGCAATTGTTACCTATGCAAAATTCGCATGAAAATCAAGTTAATACTCAAAAACCGATATCGACTCGGATTAATACTAATGCCAACTCCACTGTGAATAAATCGGCAGCAATCTCAAAAGTAATAGACTAAGAGCCCGTGACGGCCAGACATTCGTCATTTTAGGAAAGATGAAATTTTGTCCATGTGTTTCTCCAACACAGGTAAGAACGATCCCCAATTGTGAAACCTGGATCGTGGTTCCTTTGGCAGTTAACAGCCAACAAAGATGTACACTTGATGACCTATGTTTCGTTATTTTAGGAAACTCCATTTTTGCATATTTTGTTCGTATCATTATTATAACATGCGCTGCTCATTGCCAGACACCTAGTATGATTTCAACCCTAGCCAGACACCCCTAAAGTATATTATTTTTTAACTTTTTTACTTTCGTTACATTAAGAAAGCTGAATTTGATACACATTATACAGAGAGCTATGAAATTGTGTTTTCTTTCGCGCCAGACAGTTTGGTCGGTTCTATCATCCTGCCAGACGCATTGAAAGTGTATAAAAGTTGCAAAAGTTAAATTGTGTAAACATGAAAATTTCAGAGAATAATTATTTTATTTGAACATATCCTTACTAATATTATAAATGCGTATGTCCTGAAGTTTATCGTGCTTTCACGCAAAAACTACTTAACCGATCATCATGAAAATTTGTACACATATTCTTAGTGATCCCCGATAGGTTATAGGCTACTTTTTATTTAATAAATATAATTATTTTTTAAAATAAAATAAAGAAATTGTTGAGTCACTAATACCACTGCATCTGGTTCTTTGACTACTTTAACGCCATCTAGCATTCCAGCAATGAAGCTCACACCTAAGTACTATAGTACCATCACACTGTATTACCGACAGCTACGTCAACATCAAATCCGTACACATATTCTTAGTGGTCCCCGAATGGTTATAGGCTACTTTTTTTATTTAATAAAAAATAATAATTTTTAAATAAAATAAAGAAATTGTTAGACAATAATACCTCTGCATCTGGCTAATTGACTACTTTAACGCCATCTAGCATTCCATCTAAAATTTAAAACTTTATTGCATGTAGTAATTTTGCCACATAGATAATCCTAGCCAAGCAGTGAAATATACATTCTTTCTATCAATCCGTTTCAACTATGTATAATGATTTCTAATATTTATTTGATGGATTCAACGCGAGCGAAGCCGCGGGTTAAAGCTAGTATTTAATAATAATCATCACTGTCGTCGATAACATTGCGATTCGTTCTTTTCTATCTCCTTTAGTTTACGAGATATTAGCAATTGAAATAAAAACGTCAAAAATTGAAAAATTGCACTTTTGAGCACTTTCAGTCGCGGTTTCAGTCGCGGTATCGAGAACAATGATAAAAAAATTAATAAAGATTTGTTAAAATAAAATTACTATTTTCTAAAAATTTCATGTTTAAACAATTTAACTTTTGCAACTTTTATACACTTTCAATGCGTCTGGCAAGATGATAGAACCGTCCAAACTGTCTGGCGTGAAAGAAAACACAGTTTCATAGCTCTCTGCATAATGTGACTCAAATTCAGCTTTCCTGATATAACGAAAGTAAAACAGTTCAAAAATATTATAGTTTAGGGGTGTCTGGCTAGGGTTGGAACCATACTAGGTGTCTGGCAATTAGTAGCGCATGTTTAATAATGTTACGAACAAAATATGTAAAAATGGAGTTTGCTAAAATAACGAATTTGAGGTCATCATTTGTACATCTTTGTTGGCTGTTAACTGCCAAAGGAACCACGATCCAGGTTTCATAATTGGGGATCGTTCTTACCTGTGTTGGAGAAACACATGGACAAAATTTCATCTTTCCTAAAATGACGAAAGTCTGGCCGTCACTGTCTCTCGCTCCTAACACTCTTCGACACATCAAACTTTGAGAAAGGAAATGTTTACAACATAAAACAACAAAATAAAGCACGGCTAGGTTTATTTAAGGACGAATATGGAGGTAGAGTTATGCAAAAATTTATTATAAAAGCCCAAGTCGTAACCCAGCGCTAATGAAATATCAACGCCACCAGCCCGAAGAAAAGAAATCCAAACCAGACGCGCACTTTAAAAAGAAGTTTTACTATCGAGAGCAATGGCGGGACGATGGCTGGCAACGGCCATCACGCCAGCAATCAGGGGCGGGGCCTACGGATGAAACGCGTTTCAAGCCCAAGGGCAAGGACTGGAACTGGCACAGTAAGGACGAATGGCACTGTAGGTATAACTAGACGAGAGAGCGTGCTCTTTCAAACATTATGAACATATTTGGTATTTCATTTCATGTGGCGCCGGGTGCTGACAGGCGGCGCGTCAGGTTAAGATACCGCCAAAAAATAGATTAATCTAATCGACGACGATTGTTATTTTGATTTTGGTTTGTTTGTGTCGTCAAGAAACTTGTTAATGATGCCGAAGGAAAATAAATCCAAAAAACCTACGTTCAGAAGTACACGAAGATTTGGGAAACAGTTCCAGATTTAAAAGGTAAATAGAATTCATAGCATTTTTGTAATTTAAAAATGATTAAGACAAATAATTCAATTCAATATTCATGATTTTTACAAACAGTATCATCAACGTCATTTTTAGGGGGAAAACATAAGAATTAGGGCGATTTTAGGGGTTTTTGTCACCAACTTTAGGGATAAATATTTTTGAGAGTTGGTAACACTGCTCTTTCTCATTCGATTTCATTAATCACATTAATTTAAACCTAATTAAATAATTGTGTAAATATTCAATTCGGCGGTAGTTGGAACGCGGTCGCAGACATAACCTGTATTATTAGCCGGATAATTGGCAGAGCAGATTTCGCATTCATTTATGATTTTGTTAATTAGAGTTTTCATGTTTGGCCAGTAGAACTTTAATTTTAAATGTTCGTATGTTTCGTTTAAGCCGTTATGCATTTTCGCGTGATATTCCTCTATAATTTTTGTCTGTTCTTCGGTTGTTTCAAAAGCTCGAACAACAACTTATTCAAACTACCTCTCTCTCTACCGTGTGTTTGGTCTGAAGCTCTGATCACTCTGCCTTGATGCGACAATGGAAAGTCCCAACTGTTCAATCACTTTCTCAGATTTTTCACAAGTGTTCCAATAAAGATTTGAAAATCACCAACTAATGATATTAGTCGTTTGGACGGACGGTTATTTCGGATTCGCGAAGTTAAACCGCTTATTATCCTGTTCCGCAGCGCCAGTTACGTTTGCAAGACGGGTTAATTACGTTTGCAAGACGGGTTTTGTATTAAAATTATAACTTTATTTTTATAAGTACAAAATTCACGATTATAATTAAATGGTTGACATTGCTTAAGTAAACACTCAATTAAATAGTGCTTTTTAACGGAAGGGCGATAATGATAAGACACGTAAGCCCACCAGAATTATTGTGCATGCTTGTTAAGAGAGTTAAGAGAGAAACATTACATTTTAACGGAAACCGCAATCCAAATCAGTGTTTCAACAAAAACGTAAATAGTGCACACTTAAAAATGTTCCCGCTGGAACGCATCTCATTATCCGCGTTAGCAAATAAAATTGTTTCAAATGGTGAAACATATAAAAACTACATAGGCGAAATGCCGCTGCTTTTGATACCGTTTTTGATTCAGGTATGTGTGTTTACTTACTATAATTTTATAATAATTATTTATAAAATATATAGGAAATCGCATACATTCGTTGGGCGAGAATATGGGATAAAGTTGACGAAATTCGCGATGAAGAGTTAGCAGAATGGTGGAATGATGATGGTGTGGTGTGGAATGACTATTATTTTGGTAATTTTATCGCAGAAGAAAGAGATTTCATCATGATACTCTGCTACAACGACTGGTGCGATTTTTATTTTCCACCGCCATCATCACCCATTGGTCACGACGATAACGACAACGAAGATGACAACAACGATGATGACAACAACAATTATTGCATCAATGAGGATCACGACCACGAGGATGTAATTGTAATACCAAGTGGGAACCTACATGTGTGCACTGATTGTTTTAACGAGTATAAATCGTTAGTTGGACAAACAATTATCTCTCATCGTAGTTGGTTTAATCGCGTTAACTCGAACTATTTAAGCGAATTTATCGTCGATGGAATCTTGTCGTTGGAGATTTTTCGTTTCTGACGGATCAGGAACATATTTTGTGGGATCGCCAGAGGCGATTGAATGTATCTGTATTTAATCATCACCATCTCAATCTTGACTTTTATTGGTTGTCTATAGAAACTACAATGTTATTAAAATATATAAATATATAATAATAAACAAATAAAGAATAAAAAACTTACATTCGACATCATTATAGACATGTTCATGTAAATGGTTGATTTGTTTTAACATCCTGTATATACAATTTGCAACATCCAGTATGCACGCTGTCAACTGTCAGTTGTAACTCCGCAGCCGAACAGCGCCGAACACGTAATTGTCAACACATCCACACACCGTATCTTATCGTGAGTAATGCATGCAAAATAACAAATACCGAAGGCTCAAGTTTCAAAATCCCATAAGAAATTGTGCTCGAAGTCACTTTATTATGCTACTACCATTTAAATAAAAAAATTAATTGTCATTTGCTGGACGTAATTTTTTTCAATTAATTGCTTCATCAAATATTTATTTGCAATGTAGTTGTACCAATGTGATTGTTTTCTTCAACATCATTTAAATACAAATTTGCAATGTCAAACAATGCACGAAGTTGAATCTTGAACAAATCTTTAAATGACATATATGAACGAAAAGAAATATGTAAAACTTACAGTATCTGTGACAAATTGTCGCCTGCTATTACGAATGTTTCGTACACACGTATACACGTCAACTACGTGTTCGCATTCAATGCAATCCAGGAGATTACACATTGCAACAAATAAACCGGATGCAGTGGCACCATTCCTGAAAATGCATCTGATAAAAACTAATCTTGCTAAAAATTAATCTATTAAAATACCCGCACATCACTAAAATACTACTAAATTCTTGACACTTTACGCTATTCATTTCAAGTCGAGTTGTCAGCAATCTGCGTAAATTTTGCGGAACTGTTTGCGCCACGTCCCATCTTTTAACTTCAATTAGTTTTACCTTTTTATATTTCCCTGAGATTTTTTTTGGTCTTAATCCTAAAGTATGCATGTGAAAATGTTTTGATTCAAGTCCTTTCAGATGAATGACTCTTGTACCATTTGGTGTAATATAGAGCTTACCTCTTTTCCACAGCTTCATCTGCAAAAGTATGAGCTATATAAGCGAAAATACAAAATAACAAAAACATGAAACGTACATGGTATTCACTTTGTAATGATATTACTAATTGTACGTTGTTGTCCATTACTATTTTCCAAAAGTCATCTACATTATTTTGATGTGGATGTGGAAAGACAATGAATTTTTTGAGCTGCTGGTAACCATCCACAAAGATAGCATCATTATAGCATAAATTGTCATCTTCAATGAGTGGTAAGAAATTGCTACAAGATGAATATGGAAATATGTTTTGTTTCCTATTTCTGTCTTTGTCGTTGTCATCTAAGACTGGATGTCTAGCTCGCAGCAGATTTATGAGCCATATTGATTCTAAAATATTTCTCATTTCTTCTGTTAACTTTTCATCATCTAATTCTGAGTAAATGATGGCGAAGTTTTCGCATGGGTAAGCATGTTGCGGCCGAGTGATACACTCCAATAATATAAGATGAGCAAACAAATATTCTTCCACACTGTCAATGTAATTTGGTCGCTGCAATCGAAGCTTTTCAACTTGACTGCAAATATCTACATGACCTTCCAGTTGTGCTTGTCGTATACAAATATGAACTAGTATAAACAAACCAGCACATACATCTAGTTCACCGAAAGAATGAACTAGTATAGGATGTTGTGACGAGTGCTTAATCGTCTGAAGTAATTGTTGAAATGAAATAATATTCCGTGGATATATTTGTGATCCTCCTTTATACCAATTTGTAAAGTGAAAGAAACGAGCATTAACTACAATATCATTTTGCTGAACTTGAATATAGTGTATCTCGTAACTTTGAAATACGTATAAATTCAAAGCTGTTAATTTAATATTTGATAGATACATATATCTATATAACCTATAATTCGGCCAGTATTTTAGAAGCTTATCCTTTAAATATAAAAAAAATTATTTTAACTCAATAAAATTATTTGTTGTATGCATACATTGCAGATATCATCCATACTCGCAAAGAGCACAATGTTTTCTACTTTTTCATCAATAATCATCTTCCAAAAGGACTCTTTAAATTAAAAATTGATAAAACTATAAGCACAAGCTATTCCAGTAAATGAATAAAAACTTACAGCTATGTATGTTGCATCTAAATAGTCTGATTTGGTTTTGTTATGATGTAATTTTACAGTTTTCTGGTTTAATGCAACGATCTTGTTATACTCCGTTGTCAACTCGTACCCATTTGCAACGCTTTTCACATATTCGTGATATTCATCTACAGCTACCAATCGTGAGCACCTCTCATCATCATTAGCAATGGACTCCATGGGAAGTAGTGGGTGTATCACTACTGGAGCTAAATCGTTTGAAAAGCATGGTAATAAAGAATCAAGAATATTGCGTGTGTTTCTGTTTCCGCGGTTTCGTTTGTTTTTCCATACCCATAAACCAATTATAAAAATAATAATTATTATTATTGATGTTGAAACTAGCCAAAACCGTATATTCGGTGAAAATTTGCTTTATTTCCATTTGCTGTCATCAGCAGGCTTAAATTTAAGTTTACTCAAAATTGGACAAACAAAATGGCCAGTCAACAAAGCAGAACTGAATCTTAAATTAACTGTTTGTATAGAGACAAATGCCAGATAGTTTTTTGGTTTACATTGAAATTGCGTCTGAAATAATAAATAAATATGACAATATTGTTGAGTATACGAGTAAATACATAATTTTCAAACACAACAAGGGTTTGTGACACCACTATATTATTTTGACCAGAAATGTGACCTACGTTATAAGTGTATGTGGTATTTTCCGGTTTTTGATAAAAGTATTTTTCACCATTAACTATGATTTCGAAACCTAGAAGAGCACCATTTGTTTTATTAGGATGTTGCCATTCCAACTCTAGAAATCGAAATTTGTCCCATTTTGCAACCAAATTCAGTGGAGGTTGAGGAACTATTGAAGAAGTAGATTTAATTAACAAATCATTTTTTATATTTATTAAACAAATTACCTTTAATCGATGTGGTTTCATTTAAAACAGTCTCCAATCCACAGTGAGATATATTCTCATTACGCGCAGTAATTGATATAATGTAGTTCTTGTCTGTCGTAAGATTAGTTAATGTAGTGCAATACATATTTGGCCATACTTTACATGGATTCAAAGAATCATAATTGGTGTGTACCGTGCTATGTCTTCCTAAAATGTAATAATATTTTATTGCAAATGAATCCAGTATTCCAGTTGGTGGATAAGGTGGACTCCATCTCAATGATAAACTTGTTTCTGATAAGCTATATACTTCCGCGAATGGAGTTTGTTTTGGTACTAAAATCAGCATTAAATTCAAAAGTGTAATATTTTGAAACTAAGGCAAAGTGAACATACCACTTGATAACGTCATCACAGCAGTTGACCAAAATTTGTTATAATCATTAATTGCATCCAGTTTATTACATCTTAGAAACATATTTACTTCTAATTTGTAATTTGTATATGGAAGTAAACTATCAAGTGTAATTAAGTCATTATATTGCATGTGTTTAGTCATATTCATCTCTTCTCCATCACACCACTCACTCTTGCAGCTAGCATATGCATTCAGATAAATTGGACCATTCCAATTTTCACAATCAACAACTAAACCTATTTGTATCGAAGTTTCTAAAGAGCTAATTTTATAATTAAAAGGGTTTATGTCAATTGTTTTAGTTGCATCTGTGTATCCTATAACAGTTTCAAGGTCTCCTTGACCTTTCTTGGTAACTGCAGATATTGATATATTATAAATTGAATATGGTTGTAGATCAACTAATTCAACTGCAGTTCTTGTCACATTTTTAATTGATTGGACATTTGATGTGTTATTTGCAATCCGACAACCTCTTTTATCATGGAACTGAAATTATAGTTTGACAATTAGAAACACTTTGAGATTAGTTTATGGGCCAGTTACCGTCCATGTGACCACATAATTGGTAATGATTCCCAAAGCAGGGGAAGGTGCTTCCCAGACAACACTAAGTTTACTAGGTGTTGAAGTAATAACTTGTAAATTTCTAACTTTGTTTGGATCTAAAACAAAAGGTTTTACTAAAAAAGCAAGTTAACGTATATTTTGTTTTACCTGATTCATCTGTGGTAAACATAATATTATGTGTTATTTTGTTATTTTTAGTTAATTGAAGCGTATAATTAGTAAATATTTTCAATGATGTTACAAAATTATTCAATTTTAACTGTCTCGAAGATACTACTATTACATTAGCTTCATTGAGAATCAACATGTTATAACTGCTATATAAACAATTTATTTGGGAATTGTAAGATGTAACATTTATTGTCGAATGCGTGTTGAAACTCTCAATCAAAATTTGGTCCTTGTGCAATCCTAAAAGAAATAGTACAGTGTTGCATATATTTCAATGACTAGAAATACCTTCGCATGTTGTCTTAAAATGAAATGTTATCAAATCTTCATTGTAGCAGGTTGATTCCTGATCGGTTACACAAAGGACTATTTGATAATTATATTTTGATTCTTTAATTAAATTAGTAAAATTAATAACGTTGCTTTTAATTGGTGTTAATTTTCTTTCTAAAATTGTTCGGTTTGGCTGAAATAAACGAGTGTAATAATATTTTGGTGCTTGGACACCATCATATTTTAATCCTTTATCGTAGATTATAATTGTGCAATTTGTTACACAATTAGTATGAGTGGATGCAATAGTAGTTAACACTGGGAAATTTCTTTGTTTGCAGAAGGGTGCAATATATTTTAAATTATTACAACCAAAGTAACATTCACCATTTACAGGATTGCAAAAGTTCGAATTGCAATTTGTGCATGCACAAGCACAATTGCAGCCATATTTTCCTCTTTCGCATGCTGAAACAAATGACAATTATTATTGTTGGACATTATATTTTATTGTAGTACTTACTTTTATCACAATATTTGCCGGTGTATCCTATTGAACAGTGACATGATTTCTCGGTACACGTTATTTTGTGTGGGCATTCTGTTGTATTGTAGAATTCACTACATGTATTACACTGATTCTGATTATTATTCAGACAAACATCAGAAGTGTTATTTGGTAATGAAATTTTAAATTGCGTGGTTTTGTGTCGAAGAGATGAACATTTAATATTATTTGTTGCATTAAAGTTGTACTCTATTGATGAGAAATGGAAGTTTATATACGTCAGAGTCAAAAGTTTTATAATTCCATTGTGTGTTTTTGTCACTCCGATAGTATTCTGTTTTAATAATCTGTTGTGATACATCATACAATTGTAATGTAATATCGTTTGCAAAATTTGCAAAAAACGAAATACATAGATGGTTAGAATCCACAAAGAACCAATTACTATTAATAAAATTAGTATTTGGTTTGCGAGCTTCATAATACGTATCTAAAATAATGAAACAAGAATTGCATAAAACATATTATGCATTAAAATTTGTTTTCATACATTTATGATATTTCCACATCGCATTTTCGGTATTTGAATGAACGAATAATCTTGTAAAATTGTTAAATTCTCCTGGATCTTTGGCATGGTAGGAGAATAACTGTTCATCATTAATTATTACCTCTAATTGTTGGTTTACATATCGAATAGAAATTTGATTCCATTGGTCAATTGATAACAACGGTTTATGTTCAATCTTAAAATGGTTTATTTCAATATAATCAATCACAATTAATATATTTCTTACCTTATTAACGACATTTTCGCATCCTTTCAATCTATCTTCGGAGTTTGTAGGTGATGCGCCTTCCATGCATCGTCGGATAACACTTCCCATTCCATTCCACCCACCGACAATAAAAATAAAACAAGTACTCCGTTTTATTAAATTTGTGCACTTGATTTTCCCAAAAACGAAAAATTTATTTCAAAACTATTTCTGATGTAAATGTTTCCTAATTTTTCAAAGTTATAATTTTGTGTAAGTCGTGCCGACCTAGTTAAAATAAGTGGGAACACTAAAGGAAATTCATTAGTATTATGTTGTAAATTATATTAAGTTAAAATATTACTTTCCCAGGAATAATCCATCGGCTCAAGTTTCAAAATTCCCGCCAAGAAAATATTCAAATCTCCGATGAACGCCGACAAATACCGAAGGCTCAAGTTTCAAAATCCCCGCCAAGAAAATATTCAAATCTCCGATGAACGCCGACAAATACCGAAGGCTCAAGTTTCAAAATTCCCGCCAAGAAAATATTACCTTTCAAATGTCAAGTCTGTACCCCCACTCCTCACCTCGGATGATCACGTGACTGCACTCCCACTTTTCCCCCACCACTTTTTGCAGATTTTACCCTAATGTTAAATCCCATAAGAAATTGTGCTCGAAGTCACTTTATTATGCTACTGAAGACCAAAAACAGTATTTAGTACAAGTTGTAAAAGAATACAAGAATGTTTACCCTAACGCTACAAAAAGTTGCTTAACAAAGAGACGTGATTGAAAAAAAACAAATAATACAAAGTAAGATAAGTAGTTATGTATTGTTTCCCTTATTGTAACTGATAAGCTTGTTCAATAAAATTTTTATAACAATTATAAATGAGTTTAATGATTTTATAACAGAAAACTTCAAAAACCTAAATAATTATGATAAGAACTTCATATGTGCATAACTTTAATCGCAAATAACTTTTACAGGAATGTTTTTATGGAAAAAACCAAAGAGATCTTTTTTGTAGAGGGTATATTTTGCATTAGAATATGTCTTTGTCGAAGCTGTTTATTTACTTTGGAGATAAAAAATTAAATTCAAAACGTCAGAATATCCCATGTTATTTAAATGGAAAAAGTGTCATGATTCCGCCACGGTTTAAATTAAAAATTAAGAGCTACTTTACGTTGGATCATATATTTTAGAGCTAAAACTAAAACTTCAGAGGGCGGCAACAAAAAAATCAATGTGGGAAATAATGGACACACTAAAGACCACTGGCTTATGCCGAACACATCCAATTGAAGCAAATTATTGAGGAACAAATCGGTCAAGGAATTATTACAGAGGGCTCCTCCGAATACGCAAGTCCAGTTGTTCTTTGAAAAGAAACACGGGAGCCTCCGCTTATGCATCGGTATTCATTGCCTAGGATTCAAGACAAAATAGATGCATTGAAGGCGGCAAAGTTCTATTGCACTTTGGACATGATGTCAGGTTTTCACCAAATGCTTGTCGAGAAAGAATCAAGACACTGGCGTTTGTCACACCAGATGGTCATTATGAATACGATAGAATGTCGTATGGATTTGTGAATTCACCAGCCTGTTATGACAGGGCAATTGACATAGCTTTAGACAAACTGAAGGATACAATCGTAAATGTATACTTAGATGACATTTTGGTACCGAGTGTAACAATTGAAGAAGGACTTGAAAAACTAGAGATAGTCACAACAACACTTGCAAGAGCCGGTTTTGTTTTAAATCTGGAGAAGTGTAAATATTTTAAGACGTTTTAACAAGAAAATAATATTGACTTGTATCTCATAGCTGCAGGCATATCGAGGGCAACGGACAAGTTATGAGAAGTTTGTTTAACATGATGCGCGCCGTTCTCAACGAACGCGATGAAAAATAATGGATCAATGAATTACTGAAAATCGAACAAGACATGAACACATTTGTGAATAAAACTACTGGTAGAAGTCCACATGAATTAATGTTTGAAGCAAAAAGACGATTAACTGCATATGGATATGTTAAAAGATGTACCCGAACAAACAAATACTAATTTAGATGAATTTTAGGCTTTAGATGTCATCCGCAAAATGGCGGAAATTTGACAGAAAACAATTAGAAGCTTTGATAAAAAAGAACTGTTGCTAAAGTGTTTGCTACTGGTGACCTAGTATTAGTAGAGGAAACCCAATGCGGTGTTTACCCAATGAAAGGTATGTACTGAAAAAGGTAAATGGACAAATGTGGATCACTGTTGCTGGTCAAGATCAAATGAGACTATAGCCGCATGAGAAGGCTTAGGCAGATGCAGCTGACTGGCTGACAAGAACAAAAAGGAGCTTTAGCTGGTTGATACTAGCGAAAAAACGAGCCTTAAGTGGCTGATAAAAACAAAAAAGGGGCTTTAACTGGCTGATAACAAAAAAAATTTAAAAAAAGGGGAAAATATTGGGGAACAATTGGGCGTCCCTCCTTAAACAGTATGAAAAATGTTGCGATTGTTTCAGAAAATAAAGATGAGCTACAGATCTGATCAATATACTACTCTGAACTGAGTTACAGTAGGAGGTTAAAACAAAAGATGGTCC